TTTTTTAGTCTAGCTAGTTGTCTGTTGATCTTGTTTATCCATTCAAAAAACCAATTTTTGGTTTCATTTATTCTTCGTGTGGATTTTTGGGCCTCAATTTTGTTAGTTCTGCACTGATTTTAGTTATTTCTTTTCTTCTGCTAGTTTTGGGGTTTTGTTCTTGTTCTTCTAGTTCCACAAGGTGTTATGTTAGAGTGTTAATTTGACATCTTTCTAACTTTTTAAGGTAGGTATTTAGTGCTATAAACTTCCCTCTTATCACTGCTTTTGCTGCATTCCAGAGATTTTGGTATGTTGTATCTCTGCTTTCATTTATTTCAAAAGATTTTTTTATTTCTGCCTTAATTTCGTCATTTACCCAAAAGTCATTCAGGAGAAAGTTTTTAAATTTCCATGTAATTCCATGATTTGGGGAGATCTTGGTATTGCTTTCTATTTTCATTCCACTGTGTCTGCGAGTATGGTTGGTATGATTTCAACTTTTAAAACTGTATTGAGACTTGCTTTATGTCTGAGCATGTGGTCAATCTTGGAGTATGTTCTGTGTACAGATGAGAAGAATGTGTATTCTGTGGTGATCAGCGGAGTATTCTCTAGATGTCTATTAGGTCCAATTAGTCAAGTGTCAAATTGAAGTCCAAAATTTCTTGTTAGTTTTCTACCTCAATGGTCAGTTTAACACTGTCAATGGGATGTTGAAGTTCCCTACTACTATTGTTTGTCTCACTAAGTCTTTTCATAGGTCTAGAAATCATTGTTTTAAGAATCTGGGTGCTCCAATGTTGACTGCATATATATTTGGGATAATTAACTCTTCTTGTTGAATTGAACCCCTTATCATTATGTACAATATGTGAACACCAAAAAAAATCACAGAAGGAATACTGCTTGGTCTTTGAATTTTTGGGGGGTGATATTCAGAATTAAATAGCTATTTTTAAGGGAAAGAATAAAGTAATATGTTAAACTGACAGATATTTTAAAATTAAATAATATAAAAGATATGTGGAAAATATATAGATATACATACATGCACATACACTTATATAAGGGAGAAATGATTTTAAAATAATATCAAATCCCATAAAACTATTCAAAGATGACAAGGAAAATTAGCACCCCCTGAAAACAATAAGTTAATGTTGTTCAAATACTACTGTGACTCCCTTTATTTTCAAAAGGTATCATGGAACTACTTTTCAATGTGAGTACTTGCCTACTTGTATGTCTAAGGACCTCCCAATACTTGGGAGGTGTTTTTTTTTTTGTTTTGAGACAGAGTCTCGCTCCGTCACCCCGGCTGGAGTAACACTGGCACGATCTTGGCTCTCTGCAACCTCCTGGGTTCAAGCAATTCTCCTCCCTCAGCCTCCCGAATAGCTAGGACTACAGGCAAATGCCAAAGACGGGGTTTCACCATATTGGCCAGGCTGGTCTTGAACTCCTGACCTCGTGATCCACCTGCCTTGGCCTCCCAAAGTGCTGGGATTACAGGCGTGAGCCACAGCGCCTGGCCCCATACTTGTGAGTTTTAAAGCAATTTCTGGAACATTTTCAGAAGACTCTTGAGTTGTACTTGCTTATAAAAGAAAACCTGTATACCTGTTGTATCATGAACTGGTGTGAAGTAGTCATGCAACTCTCGGCTACTGAATATACCCTTCACATATTTCAGCAAGAGAATGTTTTTAGTAAAAGGTAAAAAAGTCATTTTTTAAAAAATTCTATGTTTATATAGTTTGATTTCCACAATACCCAGTGCCTGACTCTTTGGGTGGCTTTACTAATATTTTGTATTGCCTTTATCACAGGTTTGCTATCACCTCTATGTTTGAGAGGAAGAATAATTTTTAAATTTATGTATTTATTAACTAAATATACAAAATACACCTGATGTTAATTTTAAATGATCTTTAAAATCAAATGTACTACTAATTATTACATAAAACATAAGTTTATAGGTCACCAACAAAAAATTACTAGGTTTGAGGTTTTAAGGTTCATCTGAATGAGGGAGGAGTTTCCATCTCATTGTTGTATCAACTTCTTCATCAAAATTTCCCACTTCCTGCTCTTTAGAAAGCTCTAAGAATACCTAATTAGGAGACAAAGAAGAAGGAAAGAAGGAAGAGAGATTATCAAGTTGTTGGTCTTCCAAACGAATAGGAAAATGCATGTTGCTTTCATGTGAAATTTACCAGGATGATACAAAGTCAAACCAGTTGACTTACCTTCTCCAATGTGCACTGAGAGAGGCTGTATTCTTCCAGGTTAAAGTTATGCTTCACTGATGGAAAAAAAAAAAAAAAGACTAGTATTAATAGTAGATGCTTACGATTTATTACCAAGAATTTTTTCAAAATCACAAATAATAAAAATGTAAATCATTAATATAAATAAATAAAATTGAATAAGCAAATACTTGATATAAGGATGAAGTAATGAAAGCCACACAGATTTAATGTAAATACATACTATATTAATATTGATGTTATCATTTTCTCATATTATGTTTCAGTAATATTTGTTTTGGTATTGCATGCATATGTATTTGGAAGATACATATGTTCTTTGAAGAACTAATCATTGGTCAAAATATTGTTACACATGAGGAAGATCCTATCCCATCCTCTTTAAGAGAACTCGAAACTCCCTTCATCCAGTTCATCTGTTGTATCACCTCTCTGCTGGACTTCCCCACCAAAAAGTCTGTGTGACAGTTGTCACCAGATTCACATATCCATGTGTGCATACTTCACCATTTATACACTAAGAATCTGCTAGGTGTGAGGCACTCGTAGATGCCAGAAATAGAACAGTCAAGAAAATAGACAAATACTCCTGCCTTGATGTCGTTTGCATTTTAGTGGGAGGAATTAGTGACATTAAATACACAAACACTTAAATATACGATAAAGTTAATGATAGTGACTTTAAAGAAAAATAAAGCTGATTAAAATAAATAGGGAGCACTAGGCACTCTTTTTTGCCAGATAGTCAGAGAAGGCCACAGTAATCAGGTAATAATTGAACCAACGCCTGAAAATGGGAGGAAGAAGCCTGGATGTTTAGGAAGGAGAATTCCAGGAGGAAGGATTAGCAAGTACAAAGTCCTGAGGCAGGAGCTTACATGTCTGGCAGCATTTAGGAAGAACTAGAAAGTCATCTATCTAGTGTGGAAGGAACAAAGCAGAGATATACATTATGACATACATTATGTCAAACATAATGAGCCAGGCATTGTTCTAGGTGCTTAAAGTATTTACTCATTTAATCCTAACAACCTGGCCAAGTGGGCACTAACAGTATCCATCATTGTAGAGACGAACCATCTAGATATGCAGGGATTGAGTACCTCACCCAATGTCACCCAGCTAGTAAGCAGCAGCCTGGGCTGAGAACCCAGAAGGATGGGCTCTAGAGTTTGAGTTCTTCACCATTATGCTGTGCTGAGAAACTACACCACGATGGTCTGCTGTTGGGAATGATGGGGTCGAAAGCAGAGAAAATGATGACAGGAGAGAGAGTGTGGACAATTTCAATTAACAAGAGGAGTTACACACAATCCAGGGGATGGTCGAAGTTATCATTCAAATAGGAAGGCCAAATACACGTGCACAGACACAAGGAGGTTGATGGATGGATGGAAACATTCTCTGTTGCTTCTATTTTATTAGTGAAATACAAAGCAAGGGCATCTACTGAGGGAGAAAAGTGGGAAGGAAGTGGATATGTAAGGAAAGAAAGGGAGTAAAGTAATAATTTGGGACACTTGGTGTGAATGGATTATATATATGTAGGCAAAGCAGGCCACACACAGGGGCTTTTAGGGTGGGACGCCATGGCTTCACAGTAAGAACAGTCAAGCATGTGTGTTTCCTGCAGCTTCAGTCCCTGCACTGGAGATTAACCTCTTTTCATAGAGTCAGATTAACCTAAATTGGGGTTAAATCACACCATTACCTACCATTAGGATTCTTAAAAATCATGCCCTACGGGCCTGTTTTAAAAAATTGTTACCCAATTAGCTTCCATTAAATTATTATTTTAGTGGGAGTTAATTCTTCAAAAGATTTATTTGAATATGGTCACTCTTACCTGCCTCTAATTTGTGAAAGGCCTGCGATAGAGGGTAAACGTCTGCCACTGGCAGCTTATAGGTTAACAAGGAGGAATACCTGAAAATAGGAAGATGTCGTATTCAATTCTGAGTTTCAAGGGGAGAAAATGAGCATCAGAATAAATATGGATATTACCAACAATTTTCTTCTTAAAATAAAAGTAATGCAAATTAATGTATGGCTTAAATATGAAATCACAGCATTGTTTTGAAATGATTTTTGGCATCTGGCTGTTGCAGACAGCTCTCCTGGTAATAATTCAGCATAATTATATATGTGCTCAGCTTATGCAAAACCTTTGCTTGTTGAAAATCTGGTATTCTGAACTATTCCCTCTGATTATTTCAAATTAGGTTGGCAATTAACCCAAAATAAGCGTTCATCTTTGTCATCAGAAAGCTAATTCATTGTTTTGTTTTTTTTAATGAATGATTTTTTTTCTTTATTTCTTACATTTCCAGCAATTTGCATTACATTTACAATGGAAAATATAAACATTTAAACAAAAGTAAATTCAGGACTATTTTGTAAAACCATAAATAGTGGCAAATCTTGGAGATGGAGGTTGATATTGGCAAAAGATCTGTAGGGAAGACATATTTACTTTGAAGGCTTTCTAGGCCCTAGGGCCATCCAGAAGTAAGGAAATCGATAGAGCTGGGGCTGCCAATCAAAAAACCTCAGAATCTCCTTGATTCCCCCTCCTCCCAGAAGTCTAACTTGTAAAGAATAACATGAGGTTGGGAGAGTTGGAGTTAGCAGTAGAGGAAGGACATAAAATACTTTAACTAAATACTTCCCTGACCTCTAAGGAAGAGCTGTAATTGATTTGGGGCATCTTGCTTCTGTGTGCTACTTCTGGCTGTAAACCTTCATGCCCTATTCCCAAACAGGGGTTTGGTGCTCCCAGGTGGCACTAAGGTTGACCAGACGTCCAGGATTGGCCCTTTTCAGACCAGCCCCTGCTCTTTCTGTCTTATCATTTTCGATCTTCCCACCTATATCAAAACCGCTTCTCTGATTTGTGACACCAAACGTCTGGAAATGGGACGAAGTTATATGTTCTGATATCTATCTTAGAAAATTTAATTACATTTACACTGGGCTAAAATAAAATAGTAGCTTTTATGTCCTATTTTTTGATGTGCTTATCTCTCCATGGCAATTTCAAATTCAGTTTCTGCTCCACCTTCTTGCCCTCCCCCAAACAACATGCAGACGTACACAAACACACACACACATACACACACACACAGAGATATGTGGGCATGCACACACACATATACACACCCCTTTCCGGTCTCCATTTTAAGGTATGAAAATTCCATTAAAGAGAGACTCTTTGATGATCTCAATTGCCATTTGTTTCCTATGGGGAAAATTCACCCTAAATATTTACATCTTTTACATTTTAAATATTTATATATGTCAAGCATTTATAAGGAGGCCCAGGAAGGACACCATTGTGGTCCTGTGTGGGTTTCAGTCATGAGAAGTTCCTTTCCCCAAGTCTTTCCAAGTGCCCCTCTGGAGCTGGGAATCAGCCTGGGATGGCCAAGGAGGGTGTGCCTGGGCTGCCCCGGGGGGACACAGCTTCCTGAGTACGTCTCAATCTCTTATAATCTGGAATACTGAACAAATCAGTTTCTGCGGTCCCTAACTTTTATTATGAAGTAAAATCACTATGAATTTCTCACACAGCTAAAAGGAAACCACTGAGTGGATAAAGCCTCTGTATTTCTTCATAATCAAAAGCCCCTCTCACCTTTCCTGCCCTGCTGCCTGTGGGAAAAGCTTCAGAATCTCCGTGTGGACCAAAGTCACTTGAGAAGGTTCCTTCACTTTCAGCTCTAGAATGTAATCCTTGCCAAGTTTGTTTTTCAGGTGTTGGATGGAGCCAATGCATCTATGGGCAAGAAAGAGAATATGTTGGAAAAAAAAATTGCCCTTAATTTTTTAATGTTATTCTTAAATTTCAAATGTAGAAGAAAAGGTGTCACCAAGGAAGCCAAACGGAAGGACTCCAGCCACACAGGGATTTTGCCCGTTCCATGGGAAATCTCATTTTGGGCATCAAATGCAGGCTCTGGAGAAACACCCACCTAAGCCTTCCAGACACCATGATGGCCACACGGTCACACAAGGCCTCTGCCTCAGCCAGATTATGGGTGGTCAGGAGGACACCCCTCTCTGTGTTTTTAACGACTGCCTGGATTGCCTGCCTGAAGTGAGCAAAAAAATTAACAGTATTTAAAATAACTAAGTGCAGAACAAAAACAAGATAAAATACAATATATGAATCACATGCAGATCCTAAATTCAAAAAAAATAGTGCAATGTAAGCACTGACTAGGTTTTTGATAACATAAAGAAAAATTATTAAATATTTTTAGATGTGCTAATCATATTGTAGTTGAGTTAAAAACTCTTTTTTTAAGAGTTAACAAAACTCCTTATCTTCTGAAGATACCAACTGAAATATTTATAAATTAAAGAATATGCTGCTTTATATTTCCTTCAAAATAATTGGAAGGTGGAGAAAGGAAGTAGGTGAAGATATAGATGAAAGGAGATTGGTTCTATTGATATCTGCTGAAACTTCTCCTTGGGAATAATGGATTCATAAGCGATTCTCTACGTTTGTATAAAATTGCCATAACAAAGTTTTTGTTAAAGTTGGAAAAGTATTGGACAGTGACAAATATGAAACTAGATTGAAGATTTTGTTATTCCAAAGGGTAAATCCTAGATGGGAAAGTAAGAAAAAGAATAAACCTGAGAAAAACTGGAGGAACTAATTTGATAGGTCACATTAAAAAGGAAAAAAAAAATCGGAAAATTGTGTCAAGAAGTTAATAGTCTCCAAGGAAACAAAGTAGAAGGAAAAAAAGAGGAAACAGTTATAGACATCTCAATAATTAAAAGGTAAAATATTTTTCTATTTTAACAGTCCACATTAAAAACCTAAAACCCCAAGAAAATGTGAGGTTTTTTAAACCTGAATACCACGTGAACATCATGCAGATTAGATCATCTATTGGTTAAATATTTGTTTTCCTGATAATATAAATTATGTCCACTGAATCAGGAACCAGTGGGTTTGAGGACTGATTTTCCAAGATCAGTTAAAATATGCAACATTCCCTAATGTGCATCTCGCAGCTCTGGGGTATAATGATGCTCACCACATTTGCTGCTGCCCTGTGGGGTCTATGCCTGTAGATGGTTCATCCAGGAGCAAGACAGGTGAGTTTCCCAGGAGGCTCAGCACAAAGCACAACTGCAATGCAGAAAAACACCCCTGTTTGCTGCCACACCACACCAGCTCTCCATAGAGCATCAGACACCACACATACCTTTCTCATGGTTCCTGTTGTTAATTTCTGCACAGGAACATTCAGCTGCTCATGCAGTTTGAAAGCACTCACTAATCTGATAGAAAACAGAATGAGGACATCTGGTCAAGAGAAGGTTTTTGGAAAATCCAGGCACACAGAACAGTAAACGGCATTGGAGGGAAGTTTAGCAATATTATTTTCAAAATCCTAACAATTTTAAAAAAGAGATTGATTTTGGAACATGAAAGATTTTTTTTTTTTTTACTTCATAAACAGTTTTAGGAAAAACTAGAATTCTGAATGAGAAACTGAAAATGGATGATTATTTCATGTCCAGGTTTTTTTAATTAGAAAACTGAAATGGATGATGACTTACGGTGATTCATTCACTTATTCCTTGTCAATTATTTTATACAATCATTTTTTAAAGATCTCTCATTCAGGGATGCAGGAAGTCAGGTCTTGTCCCTCATCCCTGCTGTGCCACTGACACTCCGGAAGGGTGGAGATATCATATTCACTCTCCGTTCTTTATTAGTGAATTCATCATCATTGCAACAGTCTCCCTGCATTCTGACACAAAGGAATTGCAGGTCCCATCTGTACCTTGCGATGGTGAGTCTCGCATCCACTTTCCTGAGCCCCTTGACAGCAGCATACACCTCCAGGTGCTCCCTCGCCGTCAGCATGGGCCACAGCACGTTCTCCTGAGGGCAGTACCCCAGGTGGCCCAAAACTGAACTGCAGCCTTTCAGTTCCACCTAAAAAAATAAAAGAGCTTTAGAAAGGCATGCAGCCTTTTTTCCAATAGTGCAATTACTCCAGAAACCGACATATATAAACGCCTACATTGTTTAACCGTCAAATAAATACTATAGAAATTACTTAATATATTTATTACAGAAAATGATTTAAAGTACTAATATAAAAGCATAGTTTTACATGCAAAGGAGAAAAGAGACCTAATAAGCTCAGGTAGTTCCTGAGAAACCGATGAGGAGAAGGTAATTGGTTTCTGGTAATATTCCAAGTCCTGTTATAAACACTTGATGCCCAGTAAAAATTTCAAGAGGGGTATAGTCTTACAAAGATGGACTCTGTATGTATCATGGAATTTCTGTTTGGGAAATGGAAACCATTTCCTCACTACCTTTCCAGCAGTTGGCTTTGTGATCCCAGATATCATTCTAATAGATGAACTTTTTCCAGCACCATTGGGTCCCAGCAATCCCAAAATTTCACCTGAAAGAAAGAATCAGACTATCAATATTGGAAGTGAAATACTGAACAACATAAACCTTTTGCTCCAGTGAAATCTTCTAAGATCTCTGCACCCTTCAGTTAGTACCATTTTGAGATCGATAACATATATGTAATCCATGTCACCAAAGCATGTTCTTTATTTTCTGTAACTATGCCAAATGTTATGGCAAATCTTGTGAATTTGATGTCAATACATCTGTCCTTTCCCCCCGCCCCCAGATTACTTGTTTCAGTTGGAAATGTGCCCAATTGTTTTCCATAATAGATGGCTGATGCACTGAGTGCATGTATGAATGATTGTCAAACTTGAGAAGTTAGGGATATTTTCTTCATCCCAAATTCAACCACCTGTGTCCAAGTTACCATCATCTTTCATCCCAACTGATATAAAAGCCTCTGAACTTGTCCCCCCACAACCAAACTGACAAACAAACAATAGCCAATCTGTAATCTTTTCAAAATATAAATTAAATGTGACACAAGTTCACTAAAAACTCTCCAATGGTATTCCGCTAACTTGTACAAAACACAAACTCATTGCTGTTTTCAAAAGCTGTACCTATTCGGGCACTGCTCAGTTCTATAGCTTTATCCCTTCCATTTATGGATGCATCCAGTGGCCTCTTGGCTGAAGACCTTTCCAAATGTGCCTGAGTCCCTGCCCTCACTGTTTCCTCTGCCTGGATTCTCTTTGTCTAGTTCCTTCATAATTGTATTTCCAGAGTCTAAAACACTCCCTGGCACACTAAAAAATATATATATATATATTGAATAAATGAATGAATGCTTCAGCAAGTAAAACTGTGCCTATGACATAGATGTTCAATAGGTAGTTCTAAAAATAATGGTGAATTGTAAAAGGGATTATTACAGACCTTCTTGAACACAGAAAGAGATATTTCTTGCTGCTACTTTCTTCTTCCTCTTTGAAAAGCAACTTTTCTTCTGGCCTGCATATTCTTTGTGTAGACAGCTGGCAATTATAACAGGTTTCTAGGAGAGATGACAGCATGATTTTCCTCTTAAATTTCAGAGACTTTTGTTCTCTGGTGGAACCATTCATTCCTTATGTCATAAACCAAACCATATTTTGAGTTGAGAGTAATTCATGCTGCTAAAGGTAATACTTTTTCATTAATGTAGAAAATATTTCTTGCTTCTAAATAGACTGAATTCCATGGAAGCAGCTCATTGTCTTGCCAGAAGAGGGATGGCTAACCTCATGGAACCATGTCAAATAGTCAGATAGAGTAACCCTGAAAATCTTAATCTCTATTTAGCATTCTTCGACAAATCTAACTTAAATTCTTTAACTCATGAGGTCTTGTTTGATCTTGCAATTACAGCCCTAATTATGAAAGCCCACTATTCTCAAAAGAAAAATAAAACCATTAGGTTTTGTGTTCTTTTTGGCTTCTAGGACACTCCAAATAAGTGAAGTGCCTTGATTATGCAGGCACTTCTTTGGAGTGTCCTGGACGCCTAATACAGAAATGTACCAAACTCCAAACTTTCAAAATGAAACCCAGCGTATCACATCCTGTTCTTGACAGTTCTTGAATATTTCCATTAACATCCATTTTGCCCCTTGCTTTTTTACCTCGTCTAAGATTGAAGTGGTCAGAGCAGTTGCTGTTCTTACTCTTTCTGCTTGAACATCTTCATCTTCATCTATGGGTTCTTCTGGATTTGGTTTAGCATCTCTACTTTGGGGGGAAATTCTACAGAGAAAATGAAATGTTTTACATGTGGTATTCTAACTGTTAAAAGATGTGTCAAAAATCAGCATTCCTGTGATTTTACTACTGTCCTCTTCTCTAACATGCAGGTGATGATGTGATGATGACTGTCAACATCACTTCTGCTTTTGCCAAGAACTCCTGTCCCACTAGCCAGAATCCCTTTCTTGGTGTTGTTGCCATTCTTCCAGTAAGAATCTTTGACCCTTTCAAATCTATCAGCAGGTATTGCTCCTTTCTCTTTAAAATCCATGTCACTTTCATTTTCTCTACTCAGTCTGAGCCCATCTTCATCACACCAGATTTTTTTTCAACATCATTTACTGCTCACCCTTTCTACGCCCTCCATTTTTAAAACACTCAACTATGTTGCTAAATCAATTCCTTCCTATCTTTTCTCTTCAAGGATGCACAATTATCTCGGAGGAGAGAATGGCATATTTGGGTGCTTACTAAATTTTGGATGGAGTAAAGGTTTCTTACAGCTGCTTACAGCCAGAACTCTGCCTGGGAGTTCTATCTCTTGGCAGTAAGGCAGCAATCCACCTTCCCTCATGACCATCAACATGTGCTTCCCTTGTAGATGTAAATCTGTATTAACAAGATGATAGCGCAGATACCATCTAAGAATGTTAAAATATGATATTAAGTATAAAGTTAAATTTCATCCCAACCTGAAAACAGGATCTTTTCGCATTCTTTTCTTTCCATATTTTAGTTCCATACATCTTAGAACAAAAACGAATAGCAAAGTCTGAAAGTAGGGCTACGAGCAAAGAAATACAGTTATATTTTGGCATAGGTTCACAAATATTATTTAAATATTTGAATTAAGTTGGTGGTATTTTGTCTTTGGGTAAATAGTTATGAATCATTCTCATAAGTTGGCGGAGAAATGTAGCTATACATTCACAATCCAGGTTAGTGAAACCTGTCTCCTTTCTTCTTGCCACCCACATTCAGTTTGTAAGTAAATTCTATCTGCTCTATCTTCAAAATTATCTATAACCCAATTATTTCTCACCCCTACTCATGGTACTCCTACTCAGGCCTAGGTCATTATAATGTCTCACCTGGATGGTTGCAACCCCTTCCTACCTGGGCTATCTCTGCCCCTCTTGCTCTAAACATCTGTTCTGAACACAGTATCCAGAGCTACTTTTTTAATACATAAGTCTGAATTTACCACTGTGCTTAAAACCCTCCAGTGACTCCTCCTCCATCACTCAGAGTAGAGTCAAAGACTTTAGAGTAATCTAGATTACCCTGTGCAACCCTTTCTCCTGGCCTCTCACTTTATCCCATGAATTCTGTGGCCATCTTTCTTATCACTCTTTTCCTTGGTCATTCAGTCAAAACCACACTGGCCTGGCTGACCCTGGATTGAGCCAGGGTCACTCTTACTATTTCCTACTGAAGTGCTCTTCTCGAAGCCTTTCCTGACCACCCATCTGATACCACACATATAATCCATTTAGTTTATTATCCGTCTCCTTCCACCAGAATATAAGCTCCATGAGGGCAGGGACTTCTGTCTTTATTTTCTCCTGTGCCTAGAAAAGTACTGGCACCTGGGATTCAAAGATAGTAGTTTCCTGCAGCCTAAATACACCAAAATAATCATTTTCCCTTTCACTTCTATTATTCAATTTTTGCCTTTTTATCTATTATTCAAAGAAAGTAAGTTATATTGCATCTCTATCTTTTACAAGCTCTCTCAAATTTAGAGAAGGGACAGTAAACAGGATAAGTAAACAAAAAATTAATTTCATATTAAATTTTGGACATATATAGCCAATCCAAGCATGTAAAAAGTAACTCTAAGGGTTAGAAACATGTCTGAAGGTAATTGCTTTATCAAGATCATATAAAAAGAGTTTTAAAGTGGCATATTTTGGACAAGATCAAATTGTTGTAGTGAATGACAGTCATCCAAAAGAATGTGTGCTGAGGTGGAAAGGTCTTCTTACTATGAAGCAGACTAGAAAATCAGTGGCACTCAATTTGAAATTTGCCTCTGGAGATTCTCTGTAGTGCTGCTGGTCTCTCTGAAAAGACAAAACAAAACACACACACACTAATGATAATTCATCTGCTTTATGATTTGCATTTAAATAATATAAAATTCACATATTGACTATTTTCCTTATCAAGCTCAATTTCTCTGTGTGCACTAGTGACAAAGTATTTCCCCACAGAGAAGGAGAACCTCCTACTCAACTCTTGCTGTCTCTCAATAAGCAAGTAGCCTATGTCTGTTGCTCTCTTCCAATTTTTTTTTTTAATTTGGTTTTAACATTTGCAGAAAGTCTACTGAAAGTATAGCAGAGAGAGGTGTTGGCACTGGTAAAATTTCTGGAGGTTGACAATATTTTTCTTAAGTGCCCCAGACAAGCCTTTTCAGAGCCCCTTCTTATCCCAATGGTGACTATTTGCCCATAATGATAATTAGTTCCAGCATGTTATTCTTTCTTCCTCAATCAATTCATTCAGAAAGTTACTCATTCCTCCTAAATAATACATGACAGATCTAGATGAATGTATTTCACCTTGCAGGTCTACTTAGGAGGAAAATGCTTTAAGCAAAGGGATTCGTTTCTAATCAAGAACTTCAGGCATTGCTCAGCCAACGGAGATGTATTTTTGCAAATGGAAGGCTTTTCCAGTTCGCCAAGGACATCCCCGATTACGGAAGCCTTCTTTACTTTCCTTAAAGCCATTTCATCCAGGGTGGTGCAGAGCTCCAAAAAGTGTGTTCTCCACTGAACTATCTTGCCCTGGCCTCATCGTATACTTTTCTCCACTTGAACCACATTCAGTTTCTTTAATGCCTCCTGGCTTTTCCTGATTTGGTGCCTTTGTTTTCTTCTGTAGAACATGCTTACCTCCTGTCCCATTAACTAATTCTTATTCATCCTTTAGCCATGTATTTAAATATAATGTCCCCAGAAGAATTGTCTGACTTGCTTGAACACACCAGCTGTGCTTTGTGTGTCCTCCCTTGGCCCTTTGCCCTTGTGCTTTGTAACCTTTAGGTTCCTTGTATTGACCTGAGTAAGTTCGGTCTGTCTTTGCCTCCACTAAGCTTTGGGAAAGTCAGGACTGTGCTATCTTGCTCACCAGGTGTCCCCAATTACTAGCACAGTGACTAATAGAGAATAGCATTTGATACATATTTTTGAATGATTGAATGGAATCGCATATGAGTTTATCCTCAGTGGCTAACAAATACCTGTCAAACCAGGCACATTTTTCCCCCAGTCTGGCATTACTCATATTTGAATGGCATTTGACAATGCCTATATTTGGCAAAGTGAATAGGGCAAAAGTTTAAATGTTTTATTGAGATTTAATTTTGCATGTGATAAAATTCACTCATTCTGAGAGTAGAACTCAAGGATGTTTAGTAAGCTTACAGAGTTGTGCAAGCATCACCACAATTCCCCTTTTGAACATTTTCATCATCTCCCCAAAATCTCTTATGCCCATTTGCTGTTACTTCCCAGTTCCACTACTGTCTGTCTCTCTTGATCTGGGAAAAGCACTTTAATAAGCTACATATTCAAAATTAATGACACAGTTGGTAACATTTCTTACCATTTCCAAAAAAGTTTTAAATCCAAGCAAGGTATACGAAGGAACCAATACCATGGTGGTAATCAATATACTTAGGTCAAGATTACTGATTAAAGTGGTAACAAACATGATGATGGAGGCCTACAAGCGAAGTTCAAATATATTGTATCAGACATATTCAATCCATTGGTATTTTGTAAAACATTTAAGATACAGGTGTTCTCATGATGTATATCATAATGTTCCTATACGCAGATATACTCATTTGGCAATGATAGTTTCTACTTTTAGAGAGAGTAGGGAAGAAGCTTTTGTTAACAAAAATACATATGATCCCCAATAGAAAATTCTTAATAAAGACTGGCAACTAAGGTGACGGCTAAAATGACCAAATAGACTTCTTGCCAGTGTATTATTAAATTTAATCCAAGACAAGAGGATAGAGGGATTACCTTTTTATAGCTAAGGTAACAATATTGCTAATGAATAAAAACCTGTATATGTTGAAAGTTACATGGCTATCATAAAAAAATGAACAATCCATACTGTCTCTCAACCAGACTACTGCGGAGCTTTCTCATTGTCCTTCCTGCTCCATTTCTTCCCCATACCAAACAAAGGACTTTTCTGAGAGTGTGTATTTTTATTGTGATGGATTTATTTTATTTTATAAATTTTTATTGGCAAATGGGAAGGAATAAGGATAATTGTTTATTTTTTTGTTTTAAGAATCAATTGATCAGCCAAGTATGTATTGAGCACTACCCTTTGCCAGATCTTATTAATGTACCGATTATAATAAAAACAGAATCATAATTGCTAAATTCACTAAATATTACATAAATGCCAGGTTTTAATAATTTAGCAGGGATAATTTAATCCTCACAACTCCATAATGTAGATACTTTTATCATCTCTCCCCTTACAAATGAGAAATCTCGGATTTACTCTAAGTCCTTTAGTTCACTTAGCTGACTTTTCTTATTCTACCAGACCTCCACATTTCTACAATCTTTCCTCTCTTCTCATCCACTGGAACAAGAGAGGAGTCTAAACTTTGACAGTGCGAGCGGTTACTCCAGGACTCAATGTGCTAAGATGTGCTACTATACCTCCACCACAGAGCATAATAGGCTGAAAAGGTACTTCCTTATCAGCCAGGGGTCTGGGGTGCCCATGAAGCACCACAACCCTGGAGGTACGGAAGTCCACTGGACTCTAGAAACAAATTAACTGCTGACTGTGGCTTCACTCAACGATGGAGAGACATCACCTGCACTGTCCTTCCAAATGGATCCCAGATCACCAAAGGACAACCGCACTGAATATCAACATACTATACTTTCTGACATACGATCCTGTGAGGAGTAAACAAATTACCTTAGTCCTAGGACTAGCTTGGTTTAGGTTGATACTAGCTGTACGATGAAAGACAAATTCTCACAACATATATTTTCAATACATATTTAGAAATAAATTATAAGTTATCTGTATGCAAATGCAAATTTTAGTGCAAACTGCTTGAGGTCTTTGTGAAGAGGTATAATTTTGAAACTTTTTAGCCTACTGAAATCAAGATGTGTTAATCAGCACAAGTTTTGAATCAGTATTTCCAACCATGCTACTGTCTCATATTTTTTAACATAAGGAATGACATAAGGTCTGAGACTCAAGTTTATTCCTGAGCCTGTCACTATTCTTCGTGTTTTTCTGAGCAAGTTACTTAATTCTTTCCTCTATTGAAGTAGGAAATTAAGAAAATAACAGAATAATAGTATAAGTAATAATAGTAAAAATTATAGTAATAGTAAGAAAAATAACAATGACTCATAGAATGAATTGCTGTATTAACCAAGGCTGAAAAGAATTTAAGTGGCCTCCCTCCCAGAAGTTAAAGTTA